GAGAGAGAGAGAGAGAGAGAGAGAGAGAGAGAGAGAGAGAGAGAGAGAGAGATAGAAAGAGAAAGTGTGTGTGTGTAGTTGTTCATTGTTCAGCGACTAATGAAACGCAAACGACTCTACCTGTGCGCGATCCCACTGCGTAACGTTCAACGTTTTACGCATGTCATACGGACGAACTACAAGGAGACAGCGAGATCTTCTGGCTTTAGCTCGTTACAAGCGAGGGCTTTGATGCTACGTAATCGTGTCAAAGCGACTTCTTCGTGCATGAATTCGCCGCGAAAAGAAAAAGAGGCGGCTGTTACAGTCATATCAATATCTCATTGTTCCAAACAACATTAACCAGCAGAATTTTCCGAGTCAAAATTTTAGACCCTACTTTCGACCCGGACTTTCTAACGTTTCTATATTTTGAAGGATAAATGTATGTTTGGTATACACAGAAAATGAAATTCTACTTAACGCCTTTAGGTTGCAGACAATGCACCAAATGCCACTTGTAGATTCTAAAGAGAACTTCTCGGCGAAGTTAGTAGGTTAAATAGAATCAAAAGAGATTGTCGAAGATTTCAGGATATCAAAATAGGCGTTAATAAGTGCAGTATTGAGGTCAAAAGTAGGATCAACATACTGACTCGGTTTCACTCTTTCTTGCGCTAACCAACCAACCAATTTGTTCGCCAATTGTCGCACTTTCATACTGATTACATGATAAGCACACGTGATAAACACACGTGATGAACACACGTGAGCGCTTCGTGGGTCGTATGAAAGCCTCGCGTCGTTGAAAATACGCGAGAGTCTACCACGTGATCGTTAAATGTCGCTTTACGAGCTTGAGAAGAAAACTCATTAATAGCGCGCATTATACAATGCGACGCGTGTCGCGGATGTACTTCCTCGGAGTGGAATGTCATCCTCCTTGTCGATAAGATAAAGCATGCACGAAGAAGTCGATTCATCGAGGCGTAACCTAGAGATGTCTTACATATTGGCCTTGCAACTCGAAGCGAACCTCATCCATCATGAGGATTACATCTTCCTCAAAATCATCGTACTCCTACAAATTGATGTCGTGATTCGCACTGCAGTTGTGCAGAAATGAGAAACGACGTACGTGGCTGTATCGTTTTTTTTTTTTTTCATTTCCCCCTGTATACCATACCACTATGATCCTGATGATCTAATCAACCCTCTCCCGTGAGAAAACGCGATCGAGAGCTTTTCTTGTTCAGAGGAGAAGAGGAAGAAAGAAGGAGATCTCGCTCGTTTCGATCTTTCGCCTCTCCTCCGAAATTACAAACGATCTGAATCAAGGTCGTTGTTAAAATTCTGTCTTTTGTTTCTTGCTAATGAGGCGTGTATCCATGCGGTTAAGTTGAGTAACAAATAGATAGGCTGCACACGTTTTCATGCTCGGGTAGAAACGGTGGTAACGTAGGTATACCTTGTAGGCGGCGGGATGCCGATCACGATTGGGCGACACGACGATCTCCTGACCGGTCTGGAGGGATCCGACAGGCGTGGACTGAAATGAAACGGAAAACAGACTCGCTTTAGATATTTGTCGGGCTACAATGAAGAGGCCGTCACTATACGCGTCTACGTATTTCACGTGGAGTACGAAGTATATGGGTAACATACTTGAAGTTGAAAAGCGGACACAGACTTATCGACGGACTGTGCACTTTAATTTACTCTTAACTGAAGACCTGTGACATCACAATACGTTAGATTCCTATTTAGATAAGGCCGACAATTATACGACTACAATGTATATTGTAGCAAGGAAACACGATGTTATTCTTATCATTGGAGAAACAACAGAAGTATTAATAATTTCAAGATTAGTAACTGATAACATATAGGCCAGCATTCTGATAACTATTACTAGAAACTCGTCTCGGAGCGAGACAGTCGGATTTGAATTCAGAGTCTCTCAATTGAATCGCGACTACAATACAAATGTCATGGGCGTTATAATTCAAATAGGTTTAGTTATCAAAAAGTTTCATCTAACTCTGAATAAAAATCCGAATGTCTCACATGAGACAAGTTTCAGGTGACAATTATTAATATGGGACCTAGTGACAAAGTAATACACCCAAAAAAATATAATTTTGTCCTTAGAAAATATTCTCTTATAAGGCCTCAAGAGGATTCTTTTAAAATCAAAAGGAAAATATTCTAAGCACAATATTTATAAAGTTAGAGTAATTTCATATCTGTAATAGAAGTCTCTTATTCTTAATAGGAATTTCTTCTAGTGAGAAATCATTCTGCTTTTCAAGTAAACATATTTCTATTGATTCAAAAGGAAACAGAAATTAGAGAATAGTATCTAGTAGATTTAATAGTTTACTAGTGATTAATAGTTTACTTCATTAGAAGAGAAATACGCTCTCGGTGAGAATTTTTGTTTAGAATATGGGATTACAGGAAACATAACAGCTAGAGTTTTTTTTATCTTTTGGATAGTAGAATATATAGATAGATAATAGAATATATTTCTTTTGGTCTTTTTAGAAGAATTCTCTTCAGGTCATATGTAAGAGAAAATTCCACTGAGAATAAAATAATTTTTTTGGATGTATAGTGGATTACAAAACAATGTAGACAGTAAAGTAGGGAACTTATTAAACTGTCAAAATTGAGAGTCATTACCGTGTGTGTGACGGATTTATACAATAATAACATAATTAATAATCTTATTAAAACTCTGAATAACAATAATAATTAATAACACTAATAATAATATAATTACTAAAATAATAATAATTACTGAATAAGCCCATCAGTAATAATCTCTCAATTTTGACAGTTCGGTGAACTCCCAGCTGCATTGTGTCGAAACCGTTTTGCAATCCACTGTACGTACAATTGGACGTGGGAAATTACATCGGAACGATTATACCACAGAGTGCAAAAACGTCAAAGATCAATTACTCGGTAGCAAAGTTTGTCGACGGAGATTACTCGAGTCGTCAACCAACCTTATCAGATTTGGTTTTGCCGATATGCGAGGGGGCCGCCATCCGCAAGGCTCTCAGATTCTCGAAGTTGGATGGCTAGAGATAGTGCATTGAAGAGGGGAGGAGCAGCATGCAAACGTTAAAAATCAGATGTGAGCGAGCTCGCCGGTACCGCGTCGCGAGTCTGTTGGGACATTGGCGGGATCGGCTTACTTACCCAAATGCGAACCCATCGGGCGCTCTTTCGCGGGCAAACGATCAATCTAACTTCGGGAGTCGGGACTCGGGGTAATCGTGACGTCCGCCGCGTCGAGGAAACCGCGTGTCGCGCGAGAGTGCCGTGTCGATATCGTCACGAAATGTGAAAACAATTCACGACGACCGGCGCTTTGAAGAAGAAGAGCATTGGGTAATAATTTAGTAACCGATACTGGCCGGATTGTCCAATTACATAAACGTAATCGCGCGCAAACAAGCGGCACGAAAAATGAGGGAGACCAGCATTCTTACATCATTAGGAGGAACATTATACGCGCGCGTGACGCCAACGCGAGGCCACAGTTATCGACATGTGTTTTCTTTTTCCTTTCTGCGACGCGACGAATGTTATCAGCGCGGTTCTCCGACGCAACGAGTCAACGTGAACGTACGGACAACACACGTTGACACACGTCGGTATCCCCCGAGCGCGGCATCAGAAGCAACATGCAAAGGTGACATCCGCCCGAGAAAGCCTCTTTTTTTTCTCTTCCCAAGGCTCTTTGCGCAACGCGAGTGGGAAGAGTATCGCGACACGCTCGATACGCACCATCGGCTTGCCGGTCCAATCGAACTCGCCGTCGTTGACGAAGCCACGTCTCTCGTACAGGTCGTGGAAGAGCTTCCTCAAGTATTCGTAGTCCGGTGTCTCGAAGAAGTCCAGTCTACGGACGTAACGGAGATACGTGGCCATCTCTTCGGGGTGGCCGTCGCAGAGCACCTCGATCGGCGTCGCCCGCTTCGTGTCGCCGATCTTCTGGTAGCGTTCCTTCAGCGTGTCCGCCTTGAGCCCTTGCCACGGCAAGCTGCCGCGCAGGAAGTACATGAACATATGCCCGAGCGCTTCCAGGTCGTCTCTTCTGCTCTGCTCTGTTAGTCGGAAAAATAATGGCGCACATTTATGTAATATTCTACGTTACGTGACAAATAGAACAAAACAAGTGAATATTATCACACGGAGAAAAATACTTTGCTGGCCTAGCAAATTTTCTGCTGGCAAAATCTTTTTGTTATCATATGGACAGCAAAACGATTTGCTAATCACTATTTGCTGGATATAATTTGCTGAATTTAATTTACTCAATTATTTTGCTATAAGAACGTCATGATGGATTTATATAAGCAATTTGATAAGAATACATTATTTTGCATCAATTGCAAATTAACATGATTCTTAGGACAAATACACTCAACAAATTTTTCCTATCCTGGCAACGAAACTACTTCTATTTTGATAACAAATAATTTGTAAAATTAGTTACGTTAATTAAATTTTTTTGATGTCGCTACGAATACAGTCTCAACGACGATTTTGCTAAAAGAGCAAAATTATTTTTCTCCGTGCAGGAAAGTGAAAAATGTTTGTTATTTTTTCTTTAAATTCTCTTGTGAAAAGTTTGAATATTGAAAATAGCAAATCTTCGTTGAATGTTTAAAAAATACCGAGTCGATGTTGTTCATTTTGTTCGCAAAAGTTATTAATCCTTTAAAATTGAATAATTACTTTTTTTATTTTTCTAAGAAACACACTACGAATTTTTTGTGTGAACTTCATATCATTATAATTATATCAAGTATAATTTGTCGTTTTTTCTTTATCGTAGAAAATTTTAATATTAAAGGCAAAAAAGCAAGTCCTCGTTAAGTGTTTAAAAAATACTGAGTCGGTATACATTTTATTCGCAAAGGTTAATTAATCCTTTAAAATTGGATAATTTTGTTTCATATTTTTTCTGACAAACGCAACAAACCTTTTGCATGATCCTGATATTTTATTATTGGACGTAATACATATGACAAATAAAAATACTGATTTTATAATAAATATTCGAGTGCTCGTTTCGAAAGCACAAGACACGTAATGAAGATATACGGTAAAGAAGCATGCTATAAATATATCTCGTGGTATTTGTAGAGAGAATTAAACGATTTCAAGTGTTTCCGACACTTTCTCGCGAGCGCCCGCGGTTACCGCAGCGCGCGATTTACCAAGCAACGCACACAGAACGAAGGAAAAGTAAACGTCCGTTACCTTTGCCAAGATGCGTGTTGATGCTCATATAACGCGCCGTGCCAGTGAGACTCTTGTGTTCCCGGTAGGGAATATGTTTGTTTGTCTCCAAGTCTATATATTCTTTGGCTAGTCCAAAATCGATTATGTGAATTATCTTTTCCCGTTTGGTAGTGGATCGTCCTATCAGAAAATTTTCCGGCTTGATGTCGCGGTATATCAAATGCCGACTATGAACGTATTCTATCCTATGAAGCTGTGGGAAAGAGGAAAAATGTTAGCATTCGCCCTTCTCATAATTGTCACAATGTGAAGTAATTGACAATGGAACTTGATAATTTCTTTTTTATTACATTTATGGAGCAAAAATATATTGCGCTGAATTAATCGTTAAATTAAAAGTAGCAATGCAATATTGTGGTCATTAAAATAGAAATAGCAATACAATATTGTGATAATAAATAGGTAAATTATAATAAGATAAAGTAGATTAGAATGTAATAAACATGACTGTGATAAATAAGTAATAGTAACAAGTAAAAGAGTGGAAATTGAAGTTGTGATATAGACTGTAACTGCTGTGACAAGATAAGAATATAGGTAGAAAAAGGTGTGAATCGCGATGGGTGGTCAAAATAATGTTTTTTTTGTAAACCAAGTCCCCTTCTTGACAATGTATAGCTGAAGTAATAAATATCTACCTACTAAAAGTTACACTCAGATTTTCACATTGCACTCTATATGTCATGTCGTTTTGAGTAAATTTGGATAATTCTATTTCTATTTCGTCTCTCTATCCGATAAATACGAGTGTCACATGAACAATTCATAAGGCGGACAACCTTTACACATTGACTGACAAAATTGCTGCCAAATTTACACACATCTGTCTATTTAGGCACGCCAGTGCTCTCGTGAGACACTTGGTACGAAATCCCTCAAACAGATCGCGAGTGAAAATAAAAGATTGTCGGAGAAGGAACAGACGATCGAAGCCGCGGAGTTCGTTGGACTCCCGCGGTCCGCTGTTTGAGCGACTTCTCGGGGAAGCGCGATGTTCGAATAATTAATTGCGCGGCGGTGCGCGCGCGATCGTCGCCAAAATCGTCACGTTAATTCGACTTACGAGCTGTGTGGCAATGTTGAGAACGGTCTTGAGGGTGAACCTCCTGCCGCAGATGTCGAAGAGGTCTTCGAGGCTCGGCCCGAGGAGTTCCATCACCAGGGCGTTGTACTTCCCGCACGGGCCGAAGTAGTACACCTCCGGTATACCCTCTATATGTGTGTTATAAACTATACCGAGATCGACAGAGCAGATCACACCCCAGAAATCACCCCCGAAACAATTATGGTATGTTCACGGCTATATTAAAACGCTAAGGAGCTTATTCACCAGATATGGGTTTTCAGGGCGCTTAAGAGGCGTACTTTCAGTGATGCATCAAGAGAGGTACTCATGGATTCACTATTTATCCAACAAAACCACTTTTCATATGTTTATTTCACTATTTAAATAATAAATGTTAATTTAAAACAAATTTTATGATACTACTTTTTCTCATCCTTTCTTCCTCTCCATTTCTCTTTGCCTTGTCACATTTTACTCAAACAGTAAAAGTTTACCAGTACAACGTTACTCAAAGTATAAAACAAACAGGTAAAACAATTTACTAGCAAAAACAATTTACTGGTCTACAATCGGTGCAGTGAACACTATTGCTATACCGCGTTTCACTATTCTTTTTTCTATACCGCGTTTCTAATATGTAACATTTATAACAGTAAGTTCTTTTATTTGTATGGCATTCCTTTTTATCAAGTTATACACTGGAATAATGGTCATCCGTATTGCTGCTACCATAAGGTTGCATTGCGATATACAGTATCAAATTTCTCATGAACGACGCAGACAAGTTGTGTGAAATCTCAACTACAAATGCGTTTTGCCGCGTTAAATGTTACTTTATATTTTTACATCGTCTTAAGCATTTTAGGTTAAGTGAATAAACTCCTTGAGCGGTCTGTCATCTCGCACGACACGTGCATAATAATGATCGACGAAACGAGACAACACGTGGCGGTATGTAGGTCTGGCAGTTAATAACGCCGCGACGCGGATCTCTCCCTGACAACACAATCGATAATACACGTATGCGAGAGAACTCGAAGTTGCCGATTAACTCCTTGGGGCGCGACGTGAATGCGACTACATAACGTATTATTCTGCCGCGCGAAAATGCGCTCCCGAGATCCTCGACGTTTCGCGAATTCTTCGCAAACGACTCCGTGCAATGTGTGACGTTATCATGAATAACTGCAGCTCGTGCAATTTAACCCCGACTTTTTTATTTAGAACATTTAGTGGAAGTTTCATCTAGAAATTTTATGACAGACGTAAATACATTGAGAAAAGAAATATTTAACAATTTATTTGTAGGACATAAAGTTTATTTCAAGAAATAAACTTTATGTCCTACAAATAAATTGTTAAATTTTCTTTTCTCAATGTATTTAATAATATCTGTCATTATTAAAAAAAAATAATATAAAAATTCTCTGGATAAAATTTCTAGATGAAACTTCTACTAAATGTTTTAAATAAAAATGTCGAAATTAAATTGCACGAGCTGCAGTTTATTTCAAGAATTTATACATAATTTTTTTTAATAATGACAGACGTAAATACATTGAGAAAAAAAATATTTAACAATTTATTTTTAAGACATAGTTTATTTCAGAAATATATTTCTTGAAATAAACTTTATGTTCTACAAATAAATTGTTAAATATTTCTTTTCCCAATATATTTACGTTTGTCATTATTAAAATAAAAATTCTGTAAAAATTCTCTGGATAAAATTTTAGACAAACTTTTAAATATTTTTTTCTGTGTATAGATTTATATTAGATATAGTGTTTAAAAAATTATATTTAAAAAGTGATTTCAGCGTGCACGCGCGCGCGGGAAAAAAGAATTTCATTATAAAAAATTCGATGAAAATGACATGAAAATATAATTTGTTGCTTTTCAGAATATATAATATTACAACTAGATAGCTCCAAAAGTGTAGCTCTGAACGACGTAGATAAGATATTAGTCAAAAGATTTTTATGTATTATTTTTAGAGACACTCTATACTATATATTTAAGGACAGCCGGGACTCAAAGAGAATTCATAGACTTTAAATATAATATTCAGCGACGGATGTGTATAAAATTCCTCAAACCGAGATAATCGAGGTGGAAAAGTACTTTTCCGATGAAAAATGTAAAGAATGGATACGAGCTGCCGCGTGTCGTTTATCAAACGCATCTATAAGAGAACGCTGTAACGCTGAAGACGTTAAAGCCGCGATAAGTAATGACCTCGACATTTTCGCCAAGAAAAGACCGAATTGGCCGAAGAATCTACCGTTGAGGAACATAACACGGCGGTCTGTGTGTTACATGAAACCGCGATACGATTGCTTCGCCTCCCCGATACGATCTCGGCTCGTGACGCTAATCGCGTCGGGCTTTACTCAAGAATGCAAAAATTACGCGCGCACGCTCGTTTCGTGTGTAATTTGGCTAAGTCGAATTACATGGAAATCGAAGGAAACCGCGCATTTCGTGCGCTGTCGTATTGAGAGAGAATTGTCTCGCGCACGGCCGCGAAATATTTCGCGTGACGTCACCGACGAAGGGTTAACGGCATCGAGAGTAGTTTGGTCGGTTATCGTTATCGATTTATCCCAAGTGCCGCGGCGTTATTAATCTTTACCGCCGGCAATTCTCTATTAACATCGTCAAGTTGCGCGAAAATCGATGCTTTAGCTCGTTAAATTACGCCACGAATAGAACCGCGGATTTTGCCCCGACACATCCGGCGGGTTACAATGCAACTCTACGTTCGCTTTTTTTTAACCCTTGATCGCCAATGTTAGTTGTCCATTGCTGCCAATATGGAGGTATTTCGACTCCCTCAATTGTTCTTCACTTGTAACTTGTCTTGACGTTTTTAGACATTCTTCATTTTAATTACTTTTTTTCTAATTAAATCACAGTGGGTGATTATCCGAAATGTAGATCGAAATGACTCACATTGGCAATCTATACGGAGAAGATTTTATAGTAAAAATTACTATAGAATTTCGTAACCGAGGAATAGATCGACATTAATTGTAATTGACTTTTATCTCAGATGTACTTTTAAAACATTTGTTAGACTTCTAGGGAAATTTGCTATATTTCTAGCGAAATGTTCAAGGTTCCTTGGCAAAAAATTTTATTGGAGGTGAGGAAATTTATTTTCCTGTACTAAAAATATTAAAAATATAGCAAAATTAAGAAGAATTGATATGAAAAGAAACTATAATATCCTCTCCGTAGGGTTAATCTTATTGAATTGCCTAAAAATATATATAATCTTATTTTTAGCGGAAAATCCTATAAGAGCCAAATTAGAATATTCTAACGTTCAAAAAAAGAATTGTATTCCTCTTCCAATGAAGTAAACTATTAGTCAGAAATCCATTAAATTATTCTAACTTCTTCGCTTTTTAGAGAGAAATGTGTTTACTTGAATAGAATGCCTTCTTATTAGAAGAAATTTATATTAAGAACAAAACTTAGAAATTTATATTAAGAACAAAACAGAAATTTATATTAAGAACTTCTCTCTTAAGAAGAATTTTATTAAGAACATTTAAAACTTTTATTAAGACTATACTGTAGATAAAAGATTGAATTCCTCTAACTATAAGAATATTATTCTTTAGCTTAGAATATTTTTCTTTTGGTTTTAGAAGAATCTTCTTGAAGCTACGAGAGGATTTCGCTAAAGATAAGATTTTATCTTTTTGAGTGATATATTTACTAACATAAAACATTTGTGAACGTGAAACGTATCGCTACACTCACCATGTGAACCTAATAATTTGTAAAACCTATACTCTAAATGTAGCTGTGGTGCCTTTGACTTCATTGGTTCCTGCAACCGTGCAAAAGGACAAAAGTCGTTAAAGAGGGAAATCAAGCTTCTCCAGACTTTTAATTACGCAAGTTATATAAAAAGAAAAAGGAAAAGACAATTAAAGTAACCTAACTCTAATGCCCTCCTCGATAATTGATAATGGATACGACTTATCGTGAAGCTTAAGCTTTACTCACCATTTTAATTGCTACGTGCTCGTTATTATACAGGTTCTTCCCTGCAAAGAGAAGGAAAGAAATCGATAAGTGTATGAATAGAATATCTCGCCGGGGGAGAAATATAGTGAGGGATAAACCCCGCCGTGGAAATTTTGGCGAATAATATATCTCGGCATATTTCTCGCGTGGAACACACAGATGTCGTGAGAACACGTAACTTCAGCGATAACATTTCTCCCGAAGCGCAGCGTGGCAAAAGCGATGCGTAGGAAAGAACTCATCATCACGCGATACTTCCAGATACATACCGCGAACTGTCGACACGACGGCGTAACTGCGCGATAATTAAATGTCGTGCAATGGCTCGCGCCGTAACGCGATTGCAACGTGAGAAAATTAGATCGTCGAGAGATCTGCGGTCACCGTGAAATTATGGCCGGCGGCAATTATAACAGTCGCGCAAACTTATCGGGGATGTTCCGTTTAACATAACGTAATCGCGTATCAAGAAGCATTATAATTGGCACTGTTGTCCGCAATGTACGGCATTGCGGCGCAGGACAGCCAGCGCGTATTTGTGAAATTTTATCTGTCTCAATTCAATTCAACGTCGATCAAACGGCGATCACGTTAAATATTAATCACTGGGACGATAATGTAGTAATGAAGCGTATATATACAAGGAATCCCAGATTCTTCTTCGCAACTTTTGTGGAAACACAGAACAGATAAACATAAAAGTCCTGCACAGTAAATATATTGCCGCTTTTTACTTGTTTTGAGTGAAATTCCACTGAAAGAAATTTAGAGAATATTAATATTTACCCGTTTTTGGGTACACATTTGAGTAAATACTGTTCTCTAAATTTCTTGGCGTGAAATTTCACTGGAAAAAGTAAGTGATCACTTGAATTGAACTTTTCATTCGTATAAAATGAATCCTCCATTCTAAATGGTCGAGTGAATGTCTCAATCGAAATTGAGGAGTGAAACTGATGTATAGTCGGTTGCAAAACGGTTTGCACACTTTTGATCGAATGAAATTGCAGCACTTCAAGTTGTCACAATTAAGAGCCATTGCATGATAGCATACGCGGTGGTCGGTTATGACAGAAGCTAAAGTAACAATACAAAGTGTGACAACATGAAAGAAGAATTTATTTTCAGGTAAGAGAACATTATTTAAGAAATGTTGATGTATTTTATAAAGTAAGCTAACGTGAGTGTGTATTGAATGGAAACATTCGCTCATACAGATCTTAGAACCCATTCTAAGCTTGAGTGGAACATTTATTCTTGCAAATTCGAGTGGCGATATTTTCGCTATCTCACTTCGAATACTACACTCGTTTTGAGTGAGGTTCCACTGCAAGAATTTTGCGGATTATCAGCAGAGCCATTCGTGACTGAATATTTTTGCTGTGGGAAACGCGGTTGAGCCGCAGTATTCCGGTGTTCCGCGGTGTTCATGGAAGTTTTCGAGTGTTCGTCGATCATTCGACGATGATCTAATTCCGTTATAAATATGCATGAGGACATATGTTTCGTAATCCGCCGTTCTGCGCGCGACTTATGGAGAAATAACAGATGCGGGGAATAACAGAAGCCGGCTAAGGGGCAAAATTCAATTCTGTCGGGCTTGAATTTTGTTCGCAGAGGCTTCAGCGCGATACACCGCGAATCTAATAAATGAAACGCGCGTGCAGCAGGTATAGCACCTTCCTTTCTTCTCTTCCCTCACTTCCAGCAAGTAATCCAGGGAAGACGAACGGTGCGCTTCGTGGAGGCAGTGAGTGTACATTCGCCGTTCGAGTGATGCAAACGACGTGAAATGATAAAGAGAGATAAAGGCGACAGAAAATGATAATGAGGAGGCGAAGGAACATCTCGGAGCGGAGACGCCCGCGACGCGAAAAATCGAGGAGATTCCATCCAGCGTTATTCGCCACCAACCAAGTAGAAATAAGGACCGTCAAGTCTTGCGGAATTTAGCATAGGATTTTAAAAAAGTTTCACTTAATATTGAATATAATTTCATTCTAACTTGTTTAGGAAACAACGTTCGTAAATTAAACATCAGGACTCTCAAGGTTAAATAAATATATCAACCTTTTACGTAATCAATTTTTGAGCGAGCCAAAAGTCGTTCTTTCAACGACACCCTATTACTCATTGTCCGCACAGATAATATCTCATATATAGTCTACGTGGACTTGGAATGCTATAGTTTGCGCGTAAACACTCAACTGTGCAAGCTTTACAAACCGACCAACGAAGTTGCTGCCAAATTCACGTACACCGGCCAGTCTCGCCGGTCTCTCACCTACATAAGCCATCGTTTTCGCCGGCAAAGCATAGAACCGGCGGGAATAATATCACGCATCGTTGACGACTTCGCGTCATTCGCGCGGGGAGAGAAGAAGAAAAAAAGAGTGCGGGGACGCGAAGCTCCCGATGCCACGTCGTGCAGAGCGTTCGCGCGAAAGCACAAGGCGCGCATTCCTGCGGCCACTCGCGCACCTACGGAGACATGAAGGATGCGGGCCGGAACGCACACGAAACTCCTTGCGGCGGCGTGGAGGGTCAATGACTCGCGCGCTCGCGCAATTAGCGGGTTCGATACTTTCGCGGTAATTAGCGCGACGCGCTTCTCCTCGGCGTTTTGCTGCTCGCTCGTTCATTCTCTCGCTCGCTCGCACGGGAGCGTCGTAAGCGCGATTATTTCGGACGAAGGTGGGGCCACGCCCTTGTGCGTAAGGGCCAGCTGTTGCACCCGTCGCCACGTACGACCCTGCGCGACCGTGGCTTCCTCGACAGGAAGTGGCGATGACTCGGGCGAAATGCCGATATCGCGAGAATGTCAGTATTGCTTAACCGCTGGATAGCCCAAAGCAACGTGTATCTCTCTCTCTTTCTCTCTCGATTTGCTCCTCGGGCGTCCTTTTAAGTGCAATATGTCGGTGGTACTTAACCCTACGCGGGACAAAGATTCGGTCAGATTGACCGAGTGCCTGGTGAAATATGAACGAATCAGAATTCCGGTCCAAGTCACCAGACCAGTTTCAACTGGTCAACCTGCAACAGTTGCAAGTTTTCTGGTTGACCCTTTGAGTCAGTGGGACGCCAGCGTCTCACCTATCGTTTCTTCGTTTTTAGTGATTTTAATTAGCATCGGCAGACATAGTCGATTATATTGTTACTATACGTTCTCTTCCTCATAAACATAAGGAATTAAAAATAAGTAAAAAATAATTTGAATGTTTAATTGTTATAAGCAAATAAAAGTAAAAGAAAAGACAGTTTTTCAGACGATAATGATTTTACTAATTATTAAGAATTCAAACATTAACAGGTTTTTAAGAACAATTAACAGGGTTTTCACCTTTTTTTAAATTTTCTGTAAGCTGTATTTTTTACAATAAACTGTTGAAATATTGGTAATATGTTTGCTACACATTTTTTTCTATAAAAAACGCAAATATCTCTTTTTCATTTTGAAGAAATGTTATTGTTATTTTTGAGTAATGCTAAAAGCAAGATTACACGGAAGAAAAAAAATGCGTCAACCAGAAAAATAATAAAATATTCTTTTCCTGGCTTGAAGAATCAATTCTTCACACTTCAATTAGCACACTAAAGAAAAAAAGAATTTGCTGCTATGACCAATTTTTATTGGCTTTATAAAAATGTTCTTTCATAATCATTTATATTTTTGAAGCAACGAATCAGCGCAAAAATATTAAAATATCGCATAGCTTCTTTTTTAAGAATCAATTCTTCAAGTCAGAAAAAGAAATTATGCCATATTTTATTATTTTTGCGCTGACCTACCAATTCGTTGCTTCAAAAATGCAAATGATTATAGCAGAAAATTTAATTTATGAAGCAATAATTCTTTTTTTCTTCAGTGTGTTAATTTTGAAAACTTATAATCGTCATATTAAACTTCGAATTTTTACTTTTTTATCTCAAATTCATAATTAACGATCCCGAAATCTTTCAAATTTGCCAAATGCCAAATTTGAAGAAACCGCATTAAGAAACAAAATGTATAACTTCTGGTTAACCAGAATCTTGTTGACTCGAATAGAATTCTAATATCTTCAACCGAAATTTTGGCTCGTTCATATTTTACCAGATGATTGATCTAAATAAATTTTTTTCGTAAACCCCAAACATGAGAAAGTTATATAAATCATAAATATGAATACATTTTACTCAGCACATTTTTATTTGCTCATAATTCCCGGGAAAGGGATTGAAATTCAATCCTTTTTTTCTTGTTAACCGTGTAGAAAACCTCGAGAAATATGAGTAATATTAATGTTTTTGCAATTCAATGAAGTTGAAACAAAAATAGAATGAAAAGATAAAACACAGATATTTTTTAAACACTGTAAAAGTATGAAAAATTGGCTCAGTAAATTTTGTCTACATTGAGAAAACATTTGATTGGATTAAATCAAATTTCTGGTGAAATATAAACGAATAAAATTTCGGTCGAAGTTACTAGAATTCTGTTCGAATTAACCAGAAATCTCGGCGACGCAAACAAAATTCTAATAAATTCAAGCAAACTTCCGGTTCTTTGTATTTCACTAGATTTGGTGAACTCAGCCAAACTTCTTCTTACGCATGTCAAGGGTTCTGGGGTTAGAGAAACGGAAGGAAGAGAGTAGCAGGAGAGAAGGAAGAGGAGCGTAAGACGCAATTAATCGCATAAAATAAGATCGCGCATATATAAGATACACGTTGCATCCGAGCGACACGTTCCAAGTGTGTGCTGGATGTGCGCGCGCGCGCGCGCTAAAAGGGAACGATCGATTGAACTTGCCTGCAAAGAGCCACCGAGAGGATTCTTTTATCGAGCGACACTCTCCGCGGATATAACCAGTCTTACCGGTGCGAACGGCTGCCACACGGCCTGCATAAAAATCGTCACGACAGAGAGCGTGGAGAACTATCGACCTGACAACGCGCGAATCCCTATGAAGGTGTGGAGCGACGTGAAGACCCGACGACGAGATACACGAGCTCCGGTCGCATCCTAGTGTCCATA